GTCGACCTGGTGCTCTACGTATATTCGGGGGCAAAACTTCGACGGAACAAATAGACTGAGGAACAACCCAATCTGACTCTCGGCCAACGGGGTGAATAACTTCATTGTACGCAGCTCGCCAATATTCTGTGGTGTAGTAAGAGGAGCACAAATCATACAATAATTTTTCTTTTGCGCAAGCAGCTCGGGATGCATTTGAACATGGGATTTGTCACATCTGAAACTCTCGACATGAACATGTGTTACCTATAAGGTCGACAGTACAAAGTTCGGTAGCTATACCTACCTCAAAAACGAGTTCGTCCAAATTTCGTACTGGTAAAGTTGCACCGACGTCGAATGATTTTCTCAATTCATCATCAATTTTTGGTGTCACAGTCGTACTACATTTCGTGGATGCACTTTTTCTCTCGTAGAACCATCGTTGCATCAATGACATAATATCTTCGATTAACGAGGTTATAGAGAAACTTCTTTGTCGCCTTAGGACTGAATTCAGTGACTCCGCAATGTTATTCGTCATAACGTTGTACCGATTACCAACAAAATGTGCCCGTGACCAGGTGGATATACCAGCACGTTCCAAGTAAGATGCCATTGACGGTCGAATGGTTCTTATCTGTGTCATAAACTGATCAAATTCCGATACGTGGTATGCTAGCGCTGCCCGCTTGAATAAGAAGATGACATTGCTACTGTTATACCTTGCAATAAGATTTTTCTCGATATGCCAGATGCAGGCACCGTGGTGAGAAAGTGGGAACAACCTCGTAATTGCCTGCTTAATACTCTTTTTCCTGTCCGACACAAACACTAGCTGGTTTGAATCATTAATGACATCTTTCAACTTTGCAAAGAACCAATACCACGATGCATTTGTTTCCCTATCGACAACACTCCACGCAAGAGGATATATTTGTAGGTTAGCATCTTGCGCTGCAGCTACTAGTAGTGTTCCCTTATATTGGCCCTTCAAATGACTTCCATCAACACAAATTACTGGCCTCATGTGTTTTCGAAAATCACGTACACTAGGCCCGAACGCTAAGAAGAAGTACAAAAACCTATTATTCGAGTCGAGTTCAATGTGTGCAATAGTTCCTGGATTTTTCTCGGTTAACACGTGACAATATGATGGCAATTTCTGGAAACTTTCTTATGTGTACCACGAAGAAATCGAAGTCCCTTCTCTTTAGCCCTCCACGCTTTGTTGTAGGTAATCCGTACACCAAACTCACGTTCC